TGTGACCACTGAAGCCTCCGATGCCGGCAGAAGACTTGCAAAAGGAAGGTCCTGACATTTCTCAGCACAGCAGGCTGGGGTAGAGAATACGTGGATGGAAAATTTTGAGTGATTTGCTGGCTGAGATGCAGAAGAACGGAGGCTTGTATTCAATTAAAAAAAAACAAGGAATTTCAACCTCCCGTACGATGGCTACCGGAAATCTCTTGGGCTACCCAATCCTGTCCCTTGAAAAGAGGCTAGCTTGGCCACTGGGACTGGTCCGACTTAGCAGTCATGACTCCACAGCTGCGCGTCAGGTGAACCTGAATATCGCTGAACCTTCCATCTGAACGGAAAGAACAAGACACCATTAAAATGTGGGGCCTCTATCATATCTTAGAAGTTCTTTCCCTGAAACTGTCAAAATCATGGCCACGTTTTCATGGGCTGCTGCTTCACTCAATGGCCTGCAGGCCACCTGGGACCCTGGAGGAGAGCCATTCACCCCTAGCTTGGCCAACGTAGAGGATGATTTCTTCACCACAGATGAAGGAAGGGTCAGAAGGACCTACCGCAATGATCTTCATCTCGCCCTCCTCGCCCACACACGGCCACCATCCCTTCACTGTCTTCTGCTCAAAGAGCGAGACCATCCTCTCCGTGGAATCGAGCAGGTCCAGATGGCATTTCTCAGCGGTCTTGGCCGGCTTCGGCATGCAGTTGAGATCCAGGCGCAGGGAGCCTGCGAGAGAGAGGAAGAGCAGAGTGAGGGGGCTTCGGTGCGGTCAAGAAAGCAACTGAAATCCTTTTATAAATTTCCATTCACACGATGCGTGGGTATGAATTGTCACACGGTGTATATATATCGCTGGGTCTGGTCACATGGCTATCAATTCAACTGGTACATTTCTTGCTATTTTTACCAGTTCTGTAAGCTCCACATGCCATCTCTTATAAATCAATTCACTTTCTGTCCTGTTTCTGGGTCCCCACAGCCCTAAAAATTTTCTTTTTAAAAAAGTGATCTATCGTTAAAGCGGCATATACATTCGTGCATAATTATGTAAAACTGTAGAAAGGCTAGTTATGAATCCAATTCCATGACTGCCCTTCTACAGGTTTATATAATTACACATGAATGTATATGCCGCTTTAGCGATATATCATGTAAACATATCAATATTAAAAGAAAAAAGCAAGGATTCAATGGGTCCGTGTGATTTTAGTATGGAAATACTGTATAGATTACTATCACCCAAATCACCACCCTCTGTGTCTATTGTGTGCCAAGGTCCACAAAAAGAAAATGACTTGGATTTTGCACAGACCCAAGACTTTGATCCGACACACAGGTTTCTTTTCGGTGCTGAATTTTTGCACCAAAATTGCATACCTGTTCTGGTATGCATTGGCTGCTTGTAAGAAAATAAGGAAGAAACTGAAATTCTAGCTGGCTGCGCATGCAAGCCCAACATTACTTTCAGAAGTGCTCCTCATGCAACAGGATGAGAGCCGGAGAGAAAAGCAGAAGACCCTTCAGCTCTGTCACGGGGCAAAGAGTGAAAGCCCGCTCCCTTCCCCTTCCCCTTCCCCCTCGTGACTCATCACTCACCAAGGTAGTCGTCAAAGGAGAACTTGTCGTTGTCCCAGATCTGGAGGACCAGTTGGGGTGGAACTTTGTTCTCTGTCTTGTCAAGGCTCCAGAAATGCTCCTTTATTGGTGCATAAAAGGGAACATAGCAAGCGCTCAGTCGAAAGCAAGAAAACGCCGGCATTTACAGTTCCATTTGCCACTTTCATCTTCTAGCAGGGGGAGCAAGGAGGGAGGGCTAAATCCTTACCCTCATTTCAAGAGCAAAGAGAACTTTGACAAACAAGGTTCATCTATCATGATTCTATGATCCCCAGGGGTTTTTCTTTAATTAATCAATTTAAAATATTTTACCCTACCTTTTCTCCTTAAAAAAGGGATGGAGTTCAGCCTTTAAATACTGTCTTTTAATGATGTAACCTGCCATGGGTCTTTTTTAAGGAGAAATGCAAGGAATTGTTTTAAAAAATAAAATAAATGAACAAACGAATGACCGAATGACCGAACGAATGACCGAACGAACGAACGAACGAACGAACGAACACATACATACATACATGCATGCATGCATGCATGCATGCATGCATGCATGCATGCATGCATGCATGCATGCATGGAGATTAGATTGAAAAAAAATATTATTGTTTTTGTCAGATTAACTACATTAATGTTATTTTATTGGATTAATTCACTAATTTCAAAATTAACAAAGAGTGAGTTTTATTGTTTTGATTCTAGATTTATTGGGTATAATTACCCTGTTTCCCTGAAAATAAGACCTAACCTGAAAATAAGCCCTAGTATGATTTTACAGGATCCTTGTCATAAAAGCCCTACCCCAAAAATAAGCCCCAATTAAGTGAAACCTCTCCCTCCACCCTTGTGCCGCATTGTGCAGCAACCAGAAGATGACATGACTGTAAAATAAAACATCCCCTGAAAATAAGCCCTAATATATTTTTGGAGCAAAAATTCATATAAGACCCTGTCTTATTTTTGGGGAAACACAGAACATACATACATACACACACACACACACACACACACACACAGAGAGAGAGAGAGAGAGAGAGAGAGAGAGAGAGAGAGAGCAACGACATTCTAGCCCTTAAAGATCAAAAGTGGCCAGGTGACTTTGTTTACTTTTGCTTTGTTTTCAAATTATTTTTGTTTTAATTCACACTTTCACTTTAACCTGATAATTTACTAAACAGCCTATTAATATTATAACCGAGTGCCCGCTTTGCTGTTGTGTGTGTGTTTAGTCGTTTAGTCGTGTCCGACTCTTCGTGACCCCATGGACCAGAGTACGCCAGGCCCTCCTGTCTTCTACTGCCTCCCGGAGTTGCGCTTTGCTGTTAGCTGCCATCTTTTCTGATTTATGCTGATCCTAACAGTGTTTCCAATGTAAGTGAGATATTTTAGGAGTGGTTTACTACGGTCAACCTTCCGTGAGCTTTCCTGGCTGAGCGGGGATTCGAACCCAGTTCTCCTGAGTCCTAGTCCTCCAACACTCTAGTCCCTATATTACAGTGGCTCTCTTTTTAGCTGCATCTGTCCAAAACCACTAGAAAGTAATAAGACAAAATATCCTTTCCCTCCTTCCCGGCTTTGCGTGCCAATATCGCCAGAATAAACCAGCGAAGGCTGCTGTCAGCGGAGAAGGAGTTGGGGACGGAGGTCTGGGGTTTCGGTCGGGCTCCCCATCCCCGCCACAGTCAGGGACTCAAAAGCCAAGCCTTCCCTTCCTCCTCCTCCCCGAGAGCTGCTGGTCAAGAGAGACCCAGAGAAGGGACACCAAGGGTTGGAGGCTCCCGCTGGCTCCTGGCGAGCCCTTCTAGAGGGCTGTTGAACCAGGTAGGGGTCTCCCCAAAGCCCCAGGCACGCTGGTCGCCAAATGCTGGCAAAGACTCTTGAGGCCTGTCCTAGAGGGGAGTGGGTGGTGGCCCCCGGCCCTTCCCCTGACGGGGAGGAGGGTGGACAAGAAGGGAAAAGCCCAGCTCCAGACCAACATCTGGGGGGGGGGGAGAGAGATTCCAGAAGGGCTGCAAAGCATCCGAGTTCGAGTTCGTAATGAGCTCTCAAGAGGCTCGCTGGGAGCCCCACCGTCACCTCCGAGGTGGTGGAGACAACGGCAACCGGGGGCCTCCAGAGAACCATCTGGGGGAAACAGCATTGCCACCGTGTAACCTAGAGGTGTCAGTTCCAGGGAACAATCTCAGGCCTCCACCTCGAGAGCAGGAGCCCCATCCGGCCAACCTCTTGACCCCAGTTCTTGGAGGTGGATTTACAAGCTCTGCTTCCCCTTCGGAGCCAAATAATGAGGCCCTTTTATCTGGCAAAGGATGATGGGCCCCGGCAGGGGTTCCAGAGGGGCCTGGCAAATCTGGAGCAGGAATCCTTCCCAGTCCTGGCTGGGGAAATTAGAGGGGCCGACGGCATCGCACCTGGCAGACGACCGACCGACCGGGGTCCATTCTCTCTCTCTCTCCCCCTTTCCAGATGGCACTGCAGGCTTTTGAACAGGCAGCTGCCACAACATCCATTTGTGTTCCTCAGCACATGCTGGAAACCTCAGGGGCATCTGGTGCCCCCACCCGCTTAAGCGCATGCAGGCCCCGTTTCAGGCGTGTAACCAGGGATGGTGACTCGATTCGCAGGATTCGCTGTCAAGCCGGACTTGAGTCGAACCGGTGCATTGACTCAGAATCAACTCGCCTCTCCCCGTCGTCCCCCCATGACTCAGACTCAACGTGTGGCTCAGAACCCACCCGCCCCTCTCTTTTCTTTTTTTTCTGGGGGCAAAAAATAGTTGTCCTTCACAGGGACTCCAGACTTTGGACCGAAGACTTGCTCACATCCCTGTGTGTGCAACAGTGCACCTCGACAACCCCAACACAACACTTGGACTCTACGCTCCTGGGCGTAGAGTCTCCACCGACCGACAGCCAAGACTGGCAAATGGCTAAAGCACAAATCCCCCAGGATTTCATAGGATGGACTCAGGGCTTACGACCATCTCCTACAACGGCACGAGGCAGCTACATCTTTTAAGTTGCACAGTCTTCCCAAACATCTGGAGAACCCACATCTGAGAACCACCACTCCCGGGCGTAGAGTCTCCTCTGACCGGCAGCCGAGACTGGCAAATGGCTAAAGCACAAATCCCCCAGGATTTCATAGGATGGAGTCTTTTAAGTTGCACAGTCGTGCAGGTCTGGCGTTGAAGGATGGGTAGACAGATTCTTTTTACCTCCCCACTGAGCTGCCACCCAGGAGTGGATGTCATTTGATGCTTGACTTGGGATCTGAAACCCCGCTCTTGGTCCTAGCACAGACCGGCCATTCTCTCCAACTCCTCCCCTTTTGGGCTCACCTAAAAGACGCCGTTCAGCCCCAAGGCCCCCTCCTTGTGGGTGGCGGCAGGGGTGGGCATGTAGCTGCTGCCAGGCAGCCTGAATCTAGATGGGCTGCCGTCCAGAGGGCCAGCCTTCCGGGATCGGTGTGGGGAAAGGGCACCTCTTTGATGGAGCGGCTCCTCTGGAGTGCTTTTCCTCTGGAGCTGCCATGCCCCAAAAGCCACGCAGTGGCCTTTGAGCAGGTGGCTTCGACAGGGAGGCAGAGCGATTCCGGTCCGAGTCTTTGCGTTGGAGCTTTGAG